AAAGTCACTGGATTCTTATGGTGATTGAAGGATGTTACTGAGTCAGCAGAGTCCTTTCACCTTCCCAGTGACCTACTCAAAGAATTGTGCAGAAACAGAAATATAATCTAACCTGCAAAGGAAAAGACAAACGTCATCTTAAAAATATCTCTGGGTATGCCAGCCCATTAGGGTACTACATTCAGAATTGTAGCTGTTAGCACACTCAAAGGGCAAACTTTTGCATGGGGAGAAGGTGGATGTAAGAACATTATACATATATATTTCCCCCCTCCTTTCCATGGCCTGTTTGTCACCACAACCACCTTGATGAACTTAAAACTCAGCATCTTCCATAGGTTGTAATTCCACTCCTAACTGGCAAGCAGGTGTCACTTCTGAGCCACACCTACTTCATCCTCCTCTGAAAAGCTAAGAATATTAATAACTGTTTCTGGTAGCCATCCACAATGTGCTAGACTGTACAAACCTTTTAGTCTATCATGATTAGACATTAGAAAAACTTCCTGTCAGCGTAGTTAAGCACTGAAATAAATTGCCTAGGGAGGTTGTGGAATCTCCATCATTGGAGACTTTTAAGAGCAGGTTAGACAAACACCTGTCAGGAATGGTCTAGATAATTAGTCCTGCCACGGATGCAGGGGACTGGACTAAATGACCTCTCGAGGTCCCTTCCAGTTCGATGATTCCTATAAGAAACCTGCAAGCTGACAGTGTCATGCTTACAGACTAATATGGATATAATTGTCATGTCCTGTTTATAATATGCATTTGTAAACACAACAGATTAACTAGACTGTAAACTCGTTGGGACCACCTTTTACTTCTGTGCTTATAGAGCACCTACCACAATGGGGTCCTTGTAGACCTTATCACAATACAAAATAAATAATCAAGAATAATAATATGTTGCTCCCTTTCTCCCCACGCACTAGGCTTTTTGTCTCTCCTTAGATTATAAACTCCTTGGGGAAAGGATTGTGTCTTCTTATATGCTTGACATGTGCCCAGAGCAGTCAGAAATAAGTAATAATTTACTTCACTTGTAGCCAAGAAGCTGATCAACATCCTCTTATTTGGGTTCTAAGGGCATGGCTACACTTGCAGATGTAGAGCGCTGTGAGTTAAACCCGCCTTCGGAGAACACAGTAGGGAAAGCGCTGCAGTCTGTCCACACTGACAGCTGCTTGTGCACTAGCGTGGCCACATTTGCAGCACTTGCAGCGGCACTGGGAGCGGTACATTATGGGCATCTATCCCAGCATGCAAGTGACTGAAATGTGCTTTTCAAATGGGGCAGGGGGTGGAGTGTGACAGGGAGTGTGTTGTATGTGGGGGGAGAGAGAGTGGGGTTTTGGGGGGCTGAGAGCATGTCAGCATGCTGTCTTGTAAGTTCAGACAGCAGCAGACCCCTCCTCCCCCTCCCCCCCCGCCTCTCTATCTCACACACAGCATTCCACACTAATGGGTTGCATGCTGGCTGTCAAAAACGGAGCTTTGAAAGGGCATTTCCGCATTCCTACTGGAGTTCAAAACAATGACAAGAGTGGCCACTTGACTTAAGGGGATTATGGGACATTTCCACAAGCCGATCAGAGCGCAGTAACCCAACATCTCGTTCATACTGACGCCTGTGCGTTGTAGCCAAGGCGCAGCAAACGTTATTCCTCTCGCCGAGGTGGAGTACCAGCAGCGCTGTAGCTATGGAGACAGAGCGCTCTACGTGCCTTGCTAGTGTGGACGGGGAGTGAGCTAGGGTGTGCGGGGCTCCTTTATTGTGCTGTAACTTGCAAGTGTAGCCAAGCCCTTAGCAAAGTTTCTCTCTCTTGAAGCGACTACAAAGAAGCACACACTATAGGTGTAACCCACACACCTCCTGGGTGCGGTGCTCTGTCCCATCAGTGGCACTAAGACCACTTAGAGATTAATGAGTCTGCTCTACAGCAGGGATCAGCAACCTTTGGCACGCAGCCCGCCAGGGTAAGCACCCTGGCGGGCCGGGCCGGTTTGTTTACCTGCCGCATCCGCAGGTCCGGCTGATCGCGGCTCCCACTGGCCGCGGTTTGCTGTTCCAGGCCAATGGGGACGGCGGGAAGCAGCGCAGGCTGAGGGATGTGGTGGCCGCCACCCCCATTGGCCTGGAGCGGCGAACCGCAGCCAGTGGGAGCCGTGATCGGCCGACCTTGCAGACGCGGCAGGTAAACAAACTGGCCCGGCCCATCAGGGTGCTTACCCTGGCGGGCCGCATGCCAAAGGTTGCCGATCCCTGCTCTACAGCCTTCACTAAGGGCCATATGGCTTTTAGCTCAACCAGTAGAGGATCATGTATTAAGCTTCAGAGGTCCCAGGTTTGATCCTGCTCACCAATGACCAGGGTCTGTCGGTATTACATAGGCACACAGGTGTATTTACAAGGAAACCTTTGAGATACTCAAGGTCACATCAAGCAGTGAAAGCATAGAGGCCAAACATTTGAGGGGGACTGAAAAAGTATACTGTGCTTGATACCACAGAGAACGTACCCCCAAATAAGGAGGACTTTGAAACCCTAATCTATATAGCCTTTGTGCTGTAACAGGTAGCTTCAGTGCTTTTACTTTTCTCATATGAGAATTAAGCATGTTGTCTGTGGATACAAACTATGTTTGGAGCCAGTCATCACTAATTTGCTGTAGACACAGCTGAAATTTTACCCTATGGGCCTAATCATCCAGGGAGATGGGTGAACACAATTTTCACTAAACTCAATGTAATTTGCATGCACATCTCCTAGGATGAGGCTTGATGTCAGCACTATAGTCCCTGATACCTAATTAGGCTCCAACAGACTTATTTAAACCCACACAGGATGTGTGAGTGGAAATCTAGGAATTTATATGCTCAGGGGATTGGAAATGGTGTACATTTAAACTGCAGGGGAGGAGGGGAAGGTGTCCACTGAACCTTACATATTCTTACCCTATCCAGTTAAGTGCTTTTCTTGCTGCATTCTTCTCTTCTGGCCTCTCAGTGAGTTACACCAGATGAAACACACTTGCAAACAGTGGGCCAAATTCAATGCAAGGAGCAAGGGAAAAGGCAAACTGCACAGTGGTAAGGTGTGTGTGAGGACAGTTGAGTTATTCCATATTTATACTGGTGCAACTGACAGCAGAATTTGGCCCTAATTAGGTAAACGTAAGGGTCTAAATTGATATAGTCTGCCCATTAGGGTAGCAGGGGGAAGAGTTAAATTTACACCAACTTTGAATCCATCTCATCTTGCCTACGAGTTTGGCCCCCAGATCTCTTTCAGTCTGTCTGTGTTTTAACTTCAAAAGAACTGGACTCCAACTTATTCACAAGAAAAACAGCAGCTGGAGACAGAGTAGTAAATTTGAACTAGGGGCTTGATGGTGCTCACACTTGTGCCAATCTGCAGTAACTCAACTGAAGTCAAAGGAGTGGCAATAAACTGGTGTAAGTGGAGAATCAGGCCCTATGCCTCCCTTAGATTTGCCAACTATCAGGAATCTGACATATTAAATAATATCAGAATATGCTCAGGCAACCTTAACTGTAACTTTAGATACAGTTAATTAATGTATTTTAGCTTCTTTATGGAAGCAACAGGAAGTAGAAATTAACCATGCTGTAGCCCCCACAACTTGTCTCCAGGTTTGGGGGTGATATCACTTCCCCATCCTACCACCCCTGCACCTACACAGCAGTCAATTAATTGGGTTTTTTAATAGCAAAGTGGATTTCAACCTTGTAGTACAAACACTTTACAAAAAGAAAATGTGCTCTTTCAGCTGGACTAGCAACTGTTTTCAAAGCACAGTGCATGTTTTTCAAACTTTTGTAACGAGCATGAATACCATTAAAATGTATGTGCCAATTATACTGTACTTAGAACTTCAATCCCCTGCTGTATGTTAAGAATGTACACAACACTGTTTACTTATTGTAAACAATATAGATTACTATATATAAAATAAAGAAATTTAATAAAGAATAAAGAAAGGACACTGACTACCTGCAAAGCCCTAAGGGGAGCTTTTGCATGTATTTATTCCATTACAGCATAAATTAGAGTACATAAAAAGCTTTACAGTGATTTTTGCCTAGATATTTAAAACTGAACTGTTAATAAATACATCAGTTACAAATGTAATTCACCTGAATTGTGCACAGTGTCTGAAGCATTTGCATTAGTTAGTCTGTGATAAATGACAGTATCAATGTGGTCATTTTATAGTTTCACAAATTTGTCTAGGGTTTATTCACCACTAACATTAATGCTTAAGAGCAAAGCATGAGGTTGCTGCAATAAACTAGCTCACCGAAAAATACTGTATTTGTTTGAAATGTGCTCCAGTTACGGAAAAAATATAAATAGGGAAATGTGTTTACTAAAATATTTTAAGACAACTGGCCATGTATTCCACACTGGCTAAAATACTACTTTTGGCTCCCCCATTATCCTCCCTCAACCATTATTTTGTTTGCTTTGGCTAAATATATGGTAGTTAAAAATAAATAGAGCAGGAGACAAATTCACATTTTCTCCTATCTGCTGGATAAATGCTGGTAACTTGTGAAACTGAGCGAGCCTCTAAAATACAAAATAGAATACTGATTCCTAATTCTGGTAAATTTACTCCAGTGGCTCCTACTACAATACTTTTCTTAGGCCAAAATGAATGGTGTGACATCAGTGGGATTGGACATTTCTGAGGGCAGAATTTGACTCAAAGAGTTTGTGGGCCAAATTCTGTTCTCAGTTGTACTGGTGTAAATTAGTGGAATTATTCCATATTTACACTGATTTAACTGAGAGCAGAATCTGGCCCTCTAGGTGTACATACTACCCTAGTCTCCTACCTTTCGGTATTCACAGAACCATAGAATATCAGGGTTGGAAGGGACCTCAGGATGTCATCTAGTCCAACCCCCTGCTCAAAGCAGGACCAATCCCCAACTAAATCATCCCAGCCAGGGCTTTGTCAAGCCTGACCTTAAAAACCTCTAAGGATGGAGATTCCACCACCTCCCTGGGTAACCCATTCCAATGCTTCACCACCCTCCAGCAGGATCTGCCCAGCCTTAGATTAAAAGGTACTTTTCTTAGAAATTACTTAGGTCTACATTCTGCTATCACACCACACATAAAAGGCCTTTCAATCCACTGTGAGTTCAGTGCACAGAACAAAGGCAGGATATTATCCCTTACAGACAGATTCATTAAATGACTCACTACAGTTACTTTAATGGTACCATTAGGATATGATATAAGTAAGAGTTTCTCTTCTTTTCTTATGCTTTTATAACTGTACCAAAATCAATGTCATTGAGAAAAACTCAAACTAAGAAAAAAGTAACTCACTATAGAACTTCTGGTGTTTGTTCAAGTAACAAATGCTAGGTGTCACTATAGAGACACAAAGCAAATCAACCCAATGCCGAGTTTAAGCTCTGTGCTTGCAAAATGGAAAGAATCTGTGGAGCAGTCACTGGAATCAATGCTGTTAAAGCATGAAAAGCAATAAGCTACTCATGAACAATAGATAACCAAAGGTACTGAGAGCAATCATTTTGATACCTAACCAAACAGCATAGGAGAGGTACAGCTTTCATGTAAATAATTTATTCTTTTAGCAGTTGAAATTCTATCAGCTATTTACAAGGGATTTCATTGTGCATGGAATTCACATTAGCTACTGCACAACAGTTTTATTCATTAAACAGCTACGATTACCATCATTCCCATATTGTTTAGCAATTCTTGTGTTGAGCAAATAGGGATATTCTTTTGACAATTATTCCTTTGAATTGGTTTCAAGGTCTAAACAGGAGTTTTATAAACAGTGTTGCAGGAATTAAGGTTCTTTCTCATGTCATTGCTTGGCTCTCTGTCTGTTGCTAACTTTGCTAGTAAGGCTTGCATCTTCATTTCACTTGGTACATTCATAACTTAATTTAGTACTGAAGATATAATGGGGAAAAAGTCACAGGAGACCTACTTAGGAAACATGGGGCAGAGAATAGGAAACCAGCTAGAAATGTCTTTACGTTACCAGAAAAATCAATCATCTGGCTGTGATTATGCAACTAGGGTATAAAGAAAATTCTATTTGACTGACTACTACTAATTAAAACCAGATTGTTTTTCACAGGGTAAATAGTGAGAGCACATTTTGGCACAATACTATCATTCCTAGTCTGAATGAAATAGCGAAAATGTCTTCATGGTGTTTGTAGCACTTTTGATTTAATCTTGTTTATTTATTTTTGGTTGGTTTTGTTGTAAAGTGTATTTGCAAATATGTTTTCTAGTTATAGACAGCAACAAATATCTTAATTATCATAAAGGTACATTTCAAATCTTTGCTAGATGTTTGTGGAATATCTTTATAAATTTAAGGTCACAGTGATTTCCCAAAACTAATCAGGCAACGTTTTCATAAAATACCACCAAATTAAAATGCAAAGGGAAAAAAAATTACCAACCTGATTAGCTTCCTCACTAGAAATGTAGCATAAATACTGTACTAGATAAGGTATTCAAATACATAAACAATTGTATAATTGTACTATGAGATAAAACTGACATTTCAATATGTGCATCTGGTCCTTATACTGGTTCAGGCTCTGATCCAGCAATACTTGCACACTGCTTAGCTTTAAGCATATGCAGAAGTGTTTGCAGTTACTGAACTGTAAGCGTTACCTGTGCTACAATTATATGAAAAATCATTCTTTTTTTCTTTAGCCTCACAGCTCTTCTTATACTTAGAAGGCAATAATATAATTAGGAGAAAAATGCAAAATTGTATTTGTCCAGCTGAGGAATTAACTAATCTGTTAAGTGTATCGGCAAGTAAAAGATCAATATCTAACTTTCACTTGTATGCACAACATAAATTCTGACTGCAGTGTTAAATCCCATTCAACCAACTAGCATGCTGACTAGGCTAACATGTATATAGTCCAGTCATAAAGTCCTTGTTCAGGCAACACTTACAGTGACTTCATTGGGGAGATAATTTGACTAAAGGCTTCATGATTGCACCACTGGTTTCTAAATAGTATTTTAATCAGATCAACTGTATAAAACATCAAATAAACCATAAAGATAAACTCCGTGTCTTCTATCTGTCAAAATGATGTCTCATGGTAGAATCTGCTGCCTTTCTTTAGAACTAGCAATGAGATATAAGAATTCTACTGTTAGTACCCTGCTAAAATAAAATATTTTAATAAAACATAAGGATTCTTCTACTGCAGTTCTTTGACGTGAAGTTGCTATGTCTTTCTAGAATACTGAATACTCATAAACAATTCTTTTCCATAATCAAGTGACAATTCCAGGCTGAATTAACAACAGCAAAAACACTGGGTCTATTTTAAGAAAATGGTTCTCATTAATTACTGTAAAGCTAAACAGATTTGCTGTATCCTTCTATTGGATGTCTACATATAAAATGTATAAAATAAATGCAAGTGCGCTTTTTAATACAGCATGCCTGTCCAGAAGGTCTACACTTTTTTTTCTGAACAACATGATAAAAAGTATGCTTCAACTTCCCATTATATCATTTTTCTCCTCCCTATATGCTGCTCCATAAACAATTATTCTCAAAAGATTCAGAATCCAAACAAAAGTATATGGTATCAGTATGAACTATAATTGACAAGTGAATTATTAATTACAACACTCATTTACCTCAAATAAATAAATCAGTCTCTCAATTAAAAGATGGGGAAATCTCAACATTATGCTAGTACATACGTATAATCAGCCTGTGTAGCAAACTCTTGTTTTTCTTGTTCTCCTGTGATAGCCTTGTTCTATGCTGGAATAGTCTCTTACCACAGGCTACTGGACATAAAATGTAATATGTAAACTGAATGCAATCAGTTTTAAAGAATTCACATTTGGTTTAGGTTCATTTTCATTGATTTGCAGTTAATTAAAGAGCAGTGAAATACAAAGTGTTTTCCCCAAAACTCAGCGGCATCCACAGTCATGTCAATCTGCCATGAACTGAACAGCTTTGCTTCCTGTTTACTATAATTTAAAACTTCTGATAAAAAAGTAAAGCATTGTCTTTTACAGAAATTATCACTTCTTTCAGCCACAATTCTGCTGTGCTATGGTAAATTGACTTTTCCCCTGTATTCCAAATATGAACATGTGGCAGGCATTTGTGTTGCTTAAAAACTTTAAATCTGGTCTCTGTTAAATCATTCGTTGTGGTTGCAGATCCTTGGGGCTACAGTGCCATGTCTTCCTTAAAGAATCTATTGAACCAAAAATGAAAGGATGCAATTCAGATGATCTCCTTACACTTTTCTAACATATGCACTGTTGAGTTTAGCATCAAAAGTAAACTGAATTCCTTTATGTAGCCAGCAGTATTCACAACTGATATCCAAAAAAGAAAAGAAAATGAACGGCAGAAGAAGCAGCCCCTCTTGTGTATATATACAAGAGCAACACTATTATTAAATATTCCATTATAAGCTTCTGTTTTCAGGGATTTATATAACTCCAGGAGGAAAGGTCTTCTCCAGATTGGGAACTGGCCCACATTATCCCAAAGATTATCCTATTTTAGCAGCTTTTCTTTAATTTGCTTGGCTGCTCACCAGCGCCAAGGAGTGAATTCTTCCCGCATGAAGCAAAGTAAAGATTAGAGTGGTTATAACCAGCAGCGGCCCTAGATCAACATTTCAAGAGGGGCACACCAGCCCTCTAATTCATGCATACCTTCTGAAGATGCCCCTAGTCAGGGGCTGTGGCTGTCGGGCAGGCCGCTGAGCTAGGGGCAGGCTCAGCTCCCTCTAATCCTGCCAGCTGGAGTAGGCCCCTGGCTAGATGTTTGCCATGCAGTGGTGGAGGGGCCCCAGACCAGCTGATGGTGGCGCAATGCAGAAACCAATCGCAGCCCCTTCCCGTAGTTGATCTGGCTGCCCTCACGCCAGGCCCACTCAGAGCACCAGGGGGCTCTCTGGCTCCCCAGCTTTGTCTGGCTTCTCCGGCAGGGTGAGCACGAAGGGCAGGAGGACACCTTTGGCCTCGAAGGGGGCCTTGAGCAGCTCCGCATCGAAGCTGCCTGGCAGCCCCCCGTCAGCCTCCACCTCACCGTCCTGGGCCAGGTTGAAGCGTAGGGTGCCGGCCCGGTTGACACAGTAGATGGTGCTGCCCAGGGCGGCGCAGCGGAAGGGCTGCAGGGGGCCGCTGCTGGGCCTCAGGGAGGCGCACTGGCTCCAGCGCTTGGCCACGGTGTTGTAGCGGAAGACCTCGACCCCGCCGGCCTGGCCCTGTTCGCCGCGGCTGCCGCTCAGGTCGAAGCGGTAGATGAAGCTCTTGAAGGCCACCATGTCAGCGGAGCGGCGGCGGCTACTGTTGTAGGGGCACTCCTGCCACTCGTCCCGCCGGGGGTCGTACTTGAGCAGGCGGTAGAAGAGGGAGCCACCCGACACGTAGATCTCCCCGTTGCAGGTGGTGGCTTCATGCGCCACGGCAAAGGCGCCCTTGAGCAGCGGCGCCACCGGGCTCCAGCGGTCGGCCCGGGGGTCATACCTCTCCACCGTGAAGAGGCATTCGCCCCCCACAGCATAGAGGTAGCCATCCAAGGCCAGCAGCTTGAGCTGTGAGCGGGGCTGGCCCAGCGGCCGCACCTGGCTCCACGTGTCGGTGAGTGGGTTGTAGCAGAAGACCTTGTCGGAGAGGCGCGCGCGCTGCTCGCCCGGCGCCGCCGCGATGCCCCCAGCCAAGAAGAGGTAGTTGTAGAGGACGCACATGGCGCAGCCCTTGGCGTTGGCCTCCTCAGGGAGGCGGGTCAGCACCCTCCACTCCTTGGCTGCCTCCTGGTAGCAGTAGATCAGGTAGCTGCTCTCCTCCAGCGACACCACGGAGGAGGGGCTCTGCGGCCGGCTGCTCTCCCGGCTCTGCGGCCTGCTGCCCGCGCTCAGCCTCTCGAAGGCATCGCTGACCTCGGCCACCAGCAGGCACCGCTTGCCGGCCTCCAGGCGGCGCTGCAGGATGAGGTCCCGCTCCGCGCCGCTCAGGCGCCCGTAGACAGCGGGCTCCCGCAACACCTGCAGGTAGTGGTCGCTCATGAAGCGGTAGGTGGCCTCCCGCAGCTCCGCCAGCCGCTGCTTCTTGGCCAGGCACAGCAGCTGGTAGCAGTTGTCGAGGCGCAGCTGGGCCCGCATGGCCTCAGCTGCGCAGTGCAGGGCGCAGGGCATCTGCAGCACGCGGGCGCCGCTCACCACCTCGGCCAGGTTGTCATGGCGCACCTCGCCCATGCGGGCCGTGTAGACGTAGTCGATGAGCAGGCGCAGAGCCCCGTAGCTAACCCCCTTCACCCGCAGGATGTCCCGGGACGAGCGTGCACGGAAATAGTCGCTTTTGGCCGCCAGCACCGACTTGTGGGCTCGGATCCGCCGGCCGGACACTTCGATCACCAGGTCCGGCTCCTCCGAGACCGGCTGCTGCGGGCTGCTGGGCTGTGCTCCAGCCTGGGGACAGTAAGTGCCAGGCGGCGGCTGGGCAATGTCGGCTCCTCCCGCCTCCCCCTCCTCCTCAGACGCCGTGTTGTTAATCTCCCACTGGTTCTTCACCACCCGGCTGCAGGAGGAGGCTGCTCCGGGATCCTGCTGCGGGGCTTTGTCCCCCGCCCCGGGCGAGCTGAAGCACAAGGAGGAGCTGAAACCGCAGGGGGCTTGCAAAGGGAGCGCGGCGCTTTCCCCACCCCCGCTCTCCTCTTCCCCCGCTGATGCGCTCCCTTCCATGGAGCCGGGCTGCTGCTGGCTGCCGTTGCTGCGCTCTGCTTCCCCCAGAGCTTTTGCCGGGGGCCCTAGCTGCTGCTCCGCTTCTCCGCAGAGCCTTTTTGGACAGGTCTTTGCCTCACTGACATTCCCATCACCTGGATAAAGGACACAGGATAGGACTGAGTTCTCCATGGCTCTAGCAGAGGCTGGACCTGGCTAACGTCCTCCCCCCACCACACACACTCTCTCTCTCTCTCTCCCAGCTCAGCAGTACAGTTAGCGACCCCTTCGCCTTCCTCTTCTCCCCCCGTCCCTTTTTCCTTTTTTTCCTTTGTGGTTTAAGGTTGAACGTTATTGTGGGTTTTTCTTGCTCAACTCTCCTTCTTGGCACATGGTCAATTTCAGCCTTGTTTCCAAGCCTGGACTCCTCTCACATGCTGACAGCAGAAAGGGGTGTGGTGGCAGCTGTCCCTGCAGCCACTCACTGCTGAACTTTTGAACTTGACTAATTTCAACATTGTATAGATATCTGTAACAACACTGTGTTTGCTACACCTTGATTGCTCAGACTTTCCTTAAGTGGCATTGACAGATCAATGTATAGTAATAAAGTATCTCACTTCCTGTACCTTGGGGGAGTTTGATTTTTTTTTTCCTGGCGCAATTTAATTTTCTATGAGCCTTTTTCCTATTTTTTTTCTTCAGAGTAAGCGACACATGTTCTTTAACAAGTCAGAGATCATTCAGTTTTAACAGTTTTAATTTACCTAGATGTTCATATCAGCCTACATGCATCTCCCAAGATCAGTCTGACTAATTGCACTGTTTTATTTCAGCTCAAGGAGGAGCTAAACATTTTCCTTGGACTTTCTGCTCTGAAATTTGCAGCAACAGGGTCAACTAAACATGCTGATGTGTGATTACATTCTGCAATTATTGCCCCAACCCCTGAAGCTGTTGTGCTGGGTGGCATCCTTTTGTGTTGTTTGTTCAATAGACTGTGTTGAGGAAATGTGATCCTTTAAGATTAAAGTCTTAAATATAGTTATGTCCATAATTTATTCACCTTAAGCAACTATTTTAATGGCAGAAACCAATTGCAGTTCTGAACAGTTTTTAAACCAGTCAAGATTTCTTTGGAAATTATAGGCTCCTTGAGATTCAAGAAGGTTTCTTCAGTTCACTGTTTCTTACGGGATCCAATGCATTTCTTGTTCCTGTTTAAAAGAAAATGTAAAAAAGTTGATCAGTGTAAAACAAAATAATTTTCAGTTTGTGGTTATTAGAGTTTATTCCAGAGGAGTTTTGTACTAGTATAATTGAGTTTCCTTTAATGGTGGATAGTGCATCCTGAAATTTGATTATGAAATTGACTAAAATGAGGTTAATGCAAACCACAATTGTTGCAAAATACGTACTAGAGAATTGCTTGATACAGTTATGAAAAAACAAACAAAAAATAAACTGACAAATGTGTCACTGACTGATGTAGGTTGCTGTGTAGTCCCATATGTGGCTACATGAAGCGTCCTGAGAGGGTTTAGGCTTCTTGCTCATAAGAATAAGAAATGGGTAGGTTCACAGTATATAGGTCAGTACATGAAGTTTTCACTGGGAAACTGGAAGTCTGTGGGCCATGGTTGAAAGTTAGATTAGATTTCCAAACCACAACCAAAGAGATTTTTTAAAATCTTTGTTACATAAATGTAGAATTTTAGTTACAGCTTAACTGAGACATTTTTTAAAAAGGATTTTCCTAGGTTTTGTTTAAGTTCCAATCACTGATAATTATCATATTGTCAATAAATTGTCTGTGTTTAATTTCATATTATAGGGAGCTGCAGTACTGACTCCATAGTTTGTAACTATCTATTCATTATAAATTTCTACGTGACCACTTTCTACTTTCCTCATACACACTCATTTCTGCCCAAAATGTTCCATATGGTTTCCTGCCAGTAAGGATTATTTATTTATGGATTTAGTAAAATTTGAGGTAACTCAAACAAGGCATTTTGGAAACATGAGTTTGAAAACTATTTTAATGTTAGACAAGCCTAACTTACTTTGATTTTCTTTCTTGAAAATGTCATAACTCAACCACCACTTTGCCTAGAAACTCCAAATGTGAAGCTGCAGCTGGCAAACCCAGGCTGGCATGGATAATCTTTGTTTACATGACTAGTCTCATTTATTTTAATGAGATATGTGTTAATAAAAAACTATCCTGTTTATGAGGGCTTGAAGGACTGGGCTTTCATTTTATTCTGTCCTCACCAAGGATTTGTATTGCCATTGAAGGCTTCTTTGAAGGATGGGAGATTAATATTGGAATTATTTGCTATGAATATTTGAAGCTGTGAGAACTCCACAAGGTTTTAATGTAACTTGTACATTTTGATGGAATTTACAGATTTCAGAATCTCTGCATTTCTAGTATGGATATTTTGAAATCTGGAGCTGAACTGACCCATCTTATGAACATAGTTTGCGGATTTCTTAAAGTCCAGAGTTGAACCAGGTAGACTGGACTTTATTGCCTTCTGAAGTTCATATAAGCAACTCATCTTCTCTGTAGTTTTAATTAAAGAAGAGGAGAAACAGAGGGCCTGCTTCTGCTGATCCCTAAATCCCACTGGAAAGAAGCAGGTCTTTTCTTTTCCCTGTCTGCTCAGCAACACACTAGATGCTTCCCTTCACTTCCCTAAGCAGCAGCTGATCCATTACACATCTTTGTAACTGGGAGTGCAAATGCAGATTTGCTCTGATCCTCTTCATCCATTGAGAAATCTGGGGAGCAGCAACAGACTCCAGTGGACTTGGGCTGCTGCTGTTTCTCCTCAGGTTTTCTCCACACTGGAGAAGTGACATTGGTGAATAAGTGTAAGACATGTTTACACGTTTGTAATTCATTGTGGGAAGGGCATTTGATAACATGCTTCTATATACTCTTCATTCTTCACAATATTAAATTCACTAGGTAGTTGTTTTGCGTTCTAACCCATCCCAACATAGCCACGATGCTAAATCATGTTACGTCCCCAAAATGGTAAAGATCATACAGATTATGCTGTTAAAAAACTCTGAAAAGCATAGTCTTGAATGTAAGAAGGTTTTGAGATTTTTTTTTATGCTAACAATGCAATTGTCAATGAAGTACAATGAACGCTCTAAATAAATGAGTGGAGCATTTTGCCCTGGATATGCATTGTCAATACTGCCCCTTTATAGGTCCCTGCAGGGCTCTGGGACACCAGCCCTTGTGCACCTTGGCTTGGGCAAGCATAGTAGGTTCCTGAGTTGCTAAGGATGCAATGGCCTTAACACCTTGCTGGGTCCCAGTACACACTCTACCAATTGCCTTCAATATCACAATCCACTTAGGAGCCCAGACTCCCTGCTTTTGTGATCCACTCCTCCTAACTTCCTATCCTCTTGACCTACATCTGCCATCATGGAAAAAGCAGTCAAAGATTGACCATTAGCAGATTCCTCATACTATTACTGCTTAGATTCATCACAACAGACTCCTTCAGACAGCTTTACAGTCACAGGTCTACTACTAGATGTTGCAAGTACAGAAAGAGAGGGGAAGTTAAAGGAAGAACTAAAAGAATTAATATTGACTTTGATGCAAGATTATGGGTTGAATTTGAGAAGTGACCAGATAATGGTTACAAGCATCTACATATGGAAAAATGTGTTCCTGCTTAATACAACTCATTCTACATCTGAAAAGAAAACAACCAAATATTGTGTCCAAGTTGTAGAAGATGCCATTCAGAGAAAATTATGACAGAAGCCTAATGTCACTTGCTGAGACAATTAAAAAATGAAAAAATGAATGAAAAAGATGAGCCCTAAGCCTTTCACATATTCACACGTTTAGCTGGGATGTTTAGCTCACCATTGAAACCTTGTTAAGAAAGGTTAACCTAACACAGTCCTAGCAAACATTGTGAGAGTTTAAAAAAAAAATCTTCAGTCACCATATTAAAAGGATTGATGCCCCAGCTTCCCAATGACACTCGGTGAAACTTTCGGAAAAATTGTCTCTAGATTTATTTTAATCAAATGATGATCAGTATACTGAAATTTGTACTGAGCATAAGGAGGATTTAATCAATCATAGCATACATTTTACATAACAAAGGAGGGACTTGGCAGATTAGGCTGATGATGGCTGTTGCAGTGGAAATCTGGTCTAATTAACAACAAAATTGGAATCACACAAAGATAAATTTGGAAAACAATTCAGAGAAGCTATGGAACTTTTCTCTTAGCCAGCATGAGGGATTCCAAAATCATAGGTCGAGCATAGAACAAGAGAAAGCTGAAAAGTGGCTGATGGAGTGTAAAACTGTATTCCATCCTTGTCTTCCAGCATGTAGCTTTGAAATCCAACTTTTTATGTCAAATTGTAACTGATGAAGGGGGTTTTTCATTGCAACAAAATCATCAAGAATTATGGAAATAATAGAAGACAGCTGAATTCATAATTTTGTCAACTTTTAAAAGAAAACAAATGTGTTTTTAGCACTTTTCGATGAGTTTGGTCAAAGCTTTAAAATGGGATAGGTGCTGGAAAAGGAAGAAAGCTGTTTAAAGTATTTTGGTATCTATGGGCTGATACAGTAGGAGGAGGCTGGGGCCTCTAATATAGGAATTATATTAAATGGACTCAAGCCAGTATTTATTAGCTTGGGTTTGGCCTAGGGTGATGTAATGACAGCATGTTAATAGACACTGTAACTGCCAACAACCATGAGCTGCATCTACATGCTTGGCAGTGATACACTTGCGACATCCTGGATGTGTACCCATCAGTCTAGCAAACAGATATAAGATAGCTTGATTAAAGCAACAGTAAGGGCACATCGATCTATCGGGGATCGATTTACCGCGTCTAGTGTAGACGCGATAAAATCGATCCCCAATCACTCTGCCGTCAACTCCGGAAATCCACTGCAGCAAGAGGCGGAAGCGGAGTCGACGGGGGAGCGGCAGCGGTCGAGTCGCCGCCGTCGTCACAGCCAGGTAAGTCGACCTAAAATACGCAACTTCAGCTACGCTATTCGCGTAGCTGAAGTTGCGTATCTTCGGTCGACCCCCCTCCCCCCCCCGTAGTGTAGACCTAGTCTTAGACTGCAAGAGGCGGTTTTTTGATAGAGGGAGAGGCCTTGTTCTAAGAGAGATGTTTTAACAACATTTTATAGGTA